ACTTTGAGCTGATGCTACCTTTAGCATGCCCTTCTCTGGTGTTTTTTCCCTTAGCATTCCTGTAACAGCACACCCTTCCCTGGTGCTGCCTCTCATTCTATGTACTGTCTTAAAAGAGATTTTTATAAGTTCCAGACTCCTCTCACCAACAGCATACTTTCCTAAAGCTCACTACTTCTACCAGGCTACCCTCTTCCTTTTATCATTGGGTGCTGCCACGGCATAGTTCTAATCCTGATTTAGATGAATACTTTCTATATCTATTTCTATATCTTGTTTCCTTGTATATTCAGACCCTGAAAGACCTTGTGTTTTTCCTTTCTCCTTGCGACAGTTTACTTTGTCACAACCAGCATTAATCTTTTGTATATATTCTATCACCAGTCCCCAAAACAATCTAGACCACCTTGGTAAATGACCTTTTCAACATACTAGATCACCAAATGTAACAAGGTGTGGAATAAAAAACTTTAACAATATAGTAGAACTGAAGCATGTTTTGTATTTGTATAAGTGCAATAATTATCTTTTTTTCTTAAAAATAATATAATGAAACGTTGCTCTACTCAGCGGATTTATCATGAATTGTTTGTAAACAAGTCACTTCATTTCCATGATTTTGACAAGTCTAGAGTGCTTATTTATGTTTCCAGATTTGGGGAATGTACGAGACAGAGGACATTCCACTATGAAAATGTTATGCTGAAACCCCAGAATTTAACAAACTAATATTCTATCATATTAGCATAAAGCTACAATAAAGGATACATAAATGTTAGAGAATTATGTTGCATCATGGCACCCTTCTGCCTCTCGATATTAGGCTAATATTAAACCGCAAAGCCAATGTCTATAATGCACAAGCACTTCTTTACCATATTAGAGCAAACAGAAAATGAGATGGAATATCCCCACTAAGTGGTTTAAAACCACTTCTGACAGCTTTTAAATAATGCAGTACATGAAAGATGGGGACTTTATTTATTTATTTTATTTTTGCTCATAATGCAGGCCTCTTGTGAAGACTGAACCATCCTTTCGGAATTACAAAAATGGGACTTAAGAATCAGAGTCAAAAAAGAGTCAGTAGCAAACCACTGTAAAAACAAAATGATAGTTCTACGTAAACAAAAACAAAATCTTACAACAGAAGAAAATCCCAATTTCCAATCCATTCTTAGATTTATCCAACAAGGAACAGCAGAAGCAAAAACCCCAAATACCTGTCAAAGCAGCTGTTTTAAAAAGGGGATTCAACTTACTGTTTTGAATAAACAGTATTTGCAGAAACATCAAACTAAGTGTATTTTGCATAAATACAAGAGAAAAAACACAGTTTAATCTGTATAGATTAACAGAAACCAGTTTGGTATCCTATAGAACAAAACAGGCAATTTAAAGTGTGCCTGTTTTCTAAATCACTCATTTGAAACTGCATCTCTAGTTGTGTAGTCAAGAAATTGAGTATATTGTTACTGAACATCCAGCATGTACAATTATGAAAGCTATTTATAGTAAAGCTGCTTTTACTAGATTTATTCATAATGTGATTTCAAGGTTACTTCTATCTCCCATGTATTCAACAGAAAATACAATACAGCTACATGAGTATTACCTTGGGCTGTGATCCTGTCAAACCCACAAGTTTAGCAAGATCAGGCCTACTCAGCATTTGTACAGACTACCACCCAGGACATCTACATGATGCAGTGATTCAAAATTATAGCATTCAGATTTTCTGTCTCCCACCTTAAAACTAAAGAAAATGTTTCTTGTGGGATGAACCATAGTTTTTAATTTACCATAGTATTAAAGGAAGCTAACATGAAAGTGCAAAAGGAAACCTCAAAATTCCCTGTCACAGATCCACAGAAAATATATGGAGAGAAATGAACTTTTTTCAGGCAATGGATTGCAAAACAATTTCTGATGTGCATTAACAAAGTGCCTGCAGCTAAATATAATTTGTATTATGCGACCTCAGGAAATCAAGGTTACATCACTTAACATTATTTGGTGCCTAGGAGAAAGCATTTTCACTCATTCTTATTAGTTACATTTAGTTAAGTCAAACCAAAAAAGCTGTCCACACCAGCACTTTTCACACCCCTGACCGACAAAAATTTTACCGACAAAAGTGCCAGTGTAGATATAGCGTGAGGCTCTACAGCAGGGGTCTCAACCTCCCGGCCCACGAGCCACTCCAATGCGGCCCGTGGGGCTCCATCAGTTTTAGGGTCTCTCCCTTGGCCCCACCTGCTACCCCCAGGCGCTCCCCCCTCAGGGGCCCCAGAAGTGCAGTGGAGCTGAGCGGCAGCTGCCTACTTACTCCAGTGGCTGCCGGCCCCTCCCTGAGACCCAGGGGCGGGGCTGTGCCTCCGCGCAGCTGCCCCCGCCCCAAGTGCCCCTGCGGCCAATGGGACTCTGCGCACGGAGGCCCCCCGGCCTGCCCTGCCTTGGAGCCCAAGGTAAGCGCCGCACCCCTCCCCCTTCCCAGAGCCTGCACCTCCCACCCCCAAACTCCCTCCCAGATCGTGCACCCCCCACCCCTCCCCATATACCCCCTCCCGCCCCCAAACTCCCTCCCAGAGCCTGCACCTGGTCCCCACACACCCCTTCCG